TCTTCAATTTTTTTTCTATTTTTCTTTTCTTTCTTCAAATTTTTTTTTCAACTTCAAAATGTTCATAAGAGAGAAATTTAACAAAACTAAACTGATAGCATCACCAATTATTAAAGTATACACCCACTTCCCCTAACTAACATTAAGTACTTTTAGGAACTGAAAGTAGCCCAAAATAAAAGATAAGAAAGATATTTTCTATGGGCTAAGGGATAAAAAAGGAAAATCACGTAGGCACAAATGTCTATAAAGAGTTAGAACATTAAGGAAGGATGGTTTTTTGGCCTTGCTTTTATTAAGGATGGAAAAAAATGAATGCATTAATCATCTCTATGTAAAGTAAATGAATGCATAATGTGACCTCAAACAAGACACATGCCAAGTTCTAGATCAAGTAAGGGATAAGTGGTACACACATAAAAATGTCAATAGGCTCAAATCCTGACATGGTTTGTGTAATTGTTATCATATTGCGTCCAAGTTAAATAATTTATCCTTCAACTAGTCTCATTCAAGGCGGGATCAAGTCATTGTAAAAACTAAGTATTGTCATATTATTACCTCTAAACGAGCAACTTGTAGAAAACAAGTTTTGAATCCCTTACATATTTCCTTTGATCATGAATATTCCAAGATAGCAAAAGAAAAGAGAAAATTTTGCCTCGCGTTGGAAATAAGGAAAAAACAATTAAAGGAGATATGTGAAAAAATTGGATGGATGATAGTGCACGACGTGGATACCACTAAATGAAGTCAATTTTAAAGAAAAACGGTCTATGCAAGTACTATCTACTGAAGATAAGACTCCTTATGTCTTCTTTTGTTTTTTATTTCTTATCTTATTATTTTTTCAGTTTTGTTTTTGTGTTTTTATTTTGTGTTATGGATTTTAGTAGCCAATGAGTTTCTCCTTTTGAAGCTTCTTAAATGGTATCAATGATGAGAACAGAAAATATGCTTTCTTTTTAGCCCTTGAGCTATTACATTTCTTAGTGAAAAATCAGAGACTTCATCTCCTCTAGATGCCAATGACATCATAGGGAAATATAATTCGTATTTAACTTGCAAGGGATCAAAATCCCCACATAGTCAAAGCAAAGAGCATGTAATCTTAACAGGTTGATGGTGGTAGGTTAATTCTTTTTCTTTTCTAAATTGATTTTTTTTCATACAAAATTGGGGATAAATTCCTTAGTTGCATGATATATTTATCAATGGTTTAGAATCTATACAGTGTTAATGCTAGAGGGACGTAATTTTAAAAAAAATGCTAAAGAGTTAGCAATGATAGATGGTTGGATGAAGCAATATTGAATCTTTTGTTTAAAAAAACACAAAAGTTTATATTAGATCAACTAAGTTTATCCTTTAGCGGGTTGCGGTGAGTCATCCAATGTTGTATTGGTAAAGGGATTTTCTCGTACCCTCTAGCCTCCTTTGAGAGTGCATTATTCCACAAAGAGGTCTAGAGTTGATTATTAGATGAGAAGGACCTTGAATCTTGTCACACCTAAGACCTTACAATTAATCATTGTCATTAGCCTCCTATAAGAGTGCATTACTTTACAGGGAGACTTAGAATTGATAATTAGGAAGGGCCTTGAGTCCTATCCAGCTTAAAATCCCACGGTAGATTATCAGCTCATAAAATTCCTCTAATCTCCTCTAAGAATGAGTTACTCTATAAGGAGACTTAGAGTTGATCGTTAGATAGAAAGGATCTTGAATCCTATTCACCTAAGATCTTATTGATGATCATAAAAACATGTATAAAAATGAAAATTGGAGTGTATATTGAAATATCCTTTTATTTAGTAACAGGATCTTGCCAATATTACAATTTCATTACATTCTTCAATATATTCTTCTATGATTTGGTTACATAAATTGAAAAATTCAAATGTTTCTTTAGGCAAATTTAGCTAGCTCGTCATGCCTTCTGTGTGCTTGAATGCTCTGATGAGTTCTAGGATGGTGGTAGTGGAAAAATTAATAAGCTCCCCATACCTCTTTATCATATTCATCTGCTTATGATAAAGGGTCTCCCACCTTACTGACACCTCTCTTTCTTGATTCAATTGTTCAATAGGTTTTGAATTATTTCAGCTGTGCTTCCTTGTATGGCAATTAATTCATTCAATTTGCTCTCTAAGAGTTGAGTGAGGCTATTAACTTCTTCTAGTAACTCCTTAAGAAGGCTATTATCTTGTGGTTTCCTTTTGAGTGACTTTTTTGTTCAGCCACCCTCATTAGTCGGGCTCGATTATGCTTTCTTTGTTTCTCATTTTCTCTCATGACCTTTCTTAAGTTCTCATTTTCTTTTTCTAGCTACATAATTATTGAGCTTTTGTCTAAGTCTCTTTGCTTTCTCTTTTCTGCTAGTTTTTCCTAGAGAGCGGCGCACTCATTCTCCAATTGGCTCAGCTTCTATTTACTTCTTAGGTCTACCTTAGCAAGCTCTTCTAATTCTCTCTCTCTTGTTTCTAAACGCTTTGCCAACTCTTTGTTCACTACTTGGGCATTATTTGCTAGTAAGGGATCCTAAGGGGCATAAATAGGATTAGCCCCTTCAATTCTTTCTGTAAAACTCTTTCCCTCAAAATCATCAAGCTTAGCATATAACTCATTACTATGGTAGAAAAGGAAAATTGTTATACAAGCTACCATAGTGGAAAAGAAAACATGTTAACATTTTTAAAATTGGCAGTTAAACTGTGGGCAGGAACCAAATAAGTTGCATGGAACCAAAGATCTTTCATTCATTCACCAATCAATCAGTTCATCCCATTGGGCCTCCAAGGCTCAGGCTCGGGTAAATAGGGAAATCACATAAAAGCCCATCCAATTATTCACCTGAACAAAAATTCAGAATTTTGTACAAAAACAAGAATGGCCTCTGGCCAACAAAAATAGAGAGCCAACGTCTCCAACTTATAAATGTGCTATGCCAACCAAAATATTTTCAAAATGACCCTACATGTGGCAATATACAATGATCAATACATCTACATAAGCCAAAGGCATTACTACTAAAAGTAGCTCAAGCCTCGATGTCCTTTCTTGACAGCGTACACCTAGAACCCTCACCTGAAAACATTATAAACCATGAGGTGAGACAAAAGTCCTAGTAACCAACTTCCAATTCAGGGTATAAACTAAATAGGTGCTCGTGAGGTATCAAGTGGGGTAGTTAATAAGTAATGATATAAACGATAGCCACAACAGTCATGTATGTGTAATGATGCAATCCCATCAACTATATCCCTTACTTTTGGGGATTATCAAGAGCCGAACTCAACCTATCCCTCACAATGGGGGACGTAAGGAGCCAAAAGGCCTATCCCTCACTATGGGGGACGTAAATAGCCAACCATCATGTATTAATGGAGCCCTTACCATGTGGTAGTATCAGCCAGCTCTCTCACCATTTCCCAACACATGAATCATGCTCAAGTATTACCAACAAATAAGTTCACATTTTATAAGTAACTTCAACAGTGGCATATCTTTCAAAAACTCCCAATACATTAATGTCATGCAATACCCCATAAGACAATTTCTCTTTTCATATGCAAAGTACATTTAGAACACCATTTATTACTCGGACCCAAAAACATAAATCCACTCACAATACCATAACAGCATGTACAATGGATTGGAAAGTGGTTACCTCTTGCCTGAGCAAGGAATAACAAAATACCAACGATGACCCGTGCACTAAAAAATACTCAAAACAAGTCTACACAAGCACACAAACACACAACCAGCATGTATTAGCTTTCAAACTAATAAAATGGTCAACACAACACTTGGGGACTCAAAATTCTTAGTCTCAACCAAAACTCTACCCAACTCATAAGGGCCAAACCATCAGAGTAACACTTCAAAAACCACAAAAGACCATTATTACTCTAGTTTCCCTTCCAAAACATCAATTGAATTCAGAAACTCAAAGTCCCACTCTAGAAATTCACCACCCAGACACCCAATTAGAATAATTGGAGTCTTAAAAACATTCTAAACCGATTAAATATCCAATTTAACCCTTCTTAACATAACCCAATTCACAAAACTCAATCTCAACCACTACATTATCATCCTCAATCATAAACCTCCATTTTCACAAACTCTAAACTCCCCAAAAATTCAAAATCTCTAAATCCAAGAAAAATACACTGATTAAATACTTAGACTAGCTCTAGTAATCATTTAAACTCAAAACAATCAGTCAAAAACCTCAATTCCATCAGAAACTAAAAAGCCCTAGGATTCCTCTATAAAATCCTCAAAAATCCTAAGAGAAAGAGTATATTAGAGGTTAGATCCACTTAGTTGAGGTAATGGGCCCTTAGAAACGCCTTCTCTAACCCAAAACACCGAAACTCTAGCAAAGCACCACTTTCCTCCTTTAGATTTTTTATTTTTCCCATATCAGACCCTTCCTCTTGATTTAAAGACACGACCTTTTCATTACGACGAACCTAAGACTTTATCGCGACTAACTAGTCCTGAGAGGGATTTTCTAACCCAAAAACCTAAGTTCGTCACAGCCAAGAATCCATTTCGTCGCGACGACAACCTTTTCTTGAAAGGACTCTTGCTTACCTGACATCTTTTGTCGTGACACTCCCCTTAACTTCGTCATGGTGAAACCCTATTCCGAAAGGAAGCTCTCCCCATACTCCCTTTTCACTACGGCGAAGTGAAACTTCACCGTGATGAACAAATCCTGAGACGGATTTGTTCACCTACTCCTCCAACTTACTTCGATCCCAAACTAGACACCAAGATTCAAGTTTAAAAACCAATTATCCTAAAAAATCAGGGTTAAAGGACTATTAAAACTCAAAATAAAGCTCAGGACATTATAATTCTCCTCAACTAAGGAATTATATCCCTAAAATTCAAACAATCACACGACACGTAACACGCAAACAAGCATAAAACACTCACTAAGAAAACAAAAAAGGGTACTCACGTTGCATCCACTCCTCCATCTCTCAGGTGGCATCACTAGGACTCATGCCCTTCCAGAAAACTTTCACTAGCCAAATGGTCTTATTTCTCAACTGTTGGTCCTTCACATCAAGGATTCTTTCTGGTTCTACTTGGTAAGTTAGATTGTCATGTAACTCCAACTCCTCAAGTTCTAGGATGTGAGATAGATCAAGTTGGTACTACTTTAATTGGGACACATGGAACACATTATGCACATTAGATAAGTGCGAGGTAAAGCAACCTGATAGGCTACTGCTCCAATTCTATCCAAAATTTCAAAGGGACCAAGAAACCTACGAGATAACTTCTTCGCTTTAATGGACCTCCCAATACTAGTAGTAGGTGTGACCCTCAAAAACACATGGTCACCCTCACTAAATTCTAACAGTCGCCTCCTCTGATTAGCATAACTCTTCTGTTGACTCTGAGCTGTCAGCAATTTCTGTTTGATGATCTCAATTTTCTTCGTGGTAGCATCCACTAAGTCTGGCCCCAACACCATTCTTTCACTCAATTTTGTCCAGTAAAGGGGCGATCGACACTTTCAGTCGTAGAGTGCTTCATAAGGGGCCATCTGGATATGATAGAACCTAATCTTTATATGGTTTTCTCAAGTGTTTTCTAATGTTTTGCAAAAATTTTACCCTCATTATGTGTGCATTTATATCCATTTGATTACATTGAGTCATGCATCACATTTTGCTGTTTAAGGGGTGAAAAGGGTCATTTTTCACTTCTAAATTTTAATTGCCTTGATCTGTAATCAGTTGGTCTTTACAAAGCTCTTTGTTGTAATTTTCAGGTAATTAGAGAAGGACCAAAGAATCATGATGGAGCATGGATGGAGCCAAAATATTACAAGGACTAAGGCACAAAAGTTAGGAGTGTTCTGTCTCCCCAGGTCGTGACATGGACTACTTAGGTTGCGAGCTGGATGCCTCTGAGTAAAATTACTCATTTTGGACCCAAGTCAAGACGAGAGCTCTCTATCTTCCCAGGTCGCGACATGGAACCTATCAGGTTGCGACCTGACCCCTCTCGAGTCGCGACCTTACATTACTCAGGTCACAACCTGAGTACGTTAAGTAAAAGCTATATGTTTTGGAATAGGTTTCTGAGCTTCTATACCTAAGCGGGGTAGCCACCATGAAAAGACACTCTTCCATTCTGTAGATTTGCACAAGGTTGAGCCACCATCATTTCCTCTCAAGTCTCCATTGATCCTACACCCAAAACTTTCATTTTTCTTCATCTCTTCATCATTTTCTGAGATTTTGGACCAATCAAACCATTCCAACACCCTTCTTATCCATTTTTCCAACTTTATTTTTAGCTTCAACCATGGCTATTCATTCCTGGAGCAATTGCGATTGGTTTGAAGGCATAAGAGGCTAAACCCCCTAGCCTCTTGGTGATGGAGAACATAGCTTGAACTCAGTGATCTAATCGGGGAGTTTTCTTTTATAGTCTAGATTTAGGAACTTTCTGCACTTGTATCAAACTTGGTTTATGATTGTAAATCTGGTGTTTAGACTATTCTATTGTATTTGGGTTGGATGATGTTAATGTTCATTAATCTATATAATATTTCAGTTTGAATCCTTGTGTTTAGTTTGATTTTCAGTGATTATTGTGATTAATCTGCATGTATGGTATTCTGTGTTTGTCGATTGACATTCAGAGGACATTTGTATCATTCATTCATCTACACTCTAAGTGGTTTTCAGCAGTGTCTTAAGAGGTATTAATTAACTTTGATTAAAGTGAGTTTTCATTAATTAAGACATTGGACCCAAGTGATTACTTAGGGTTTTCTTTAGACTTTGAGGCTTTCCAAACTCCCAATCATTCTAAAAAGCAGTGATAGCTGAGTTTTCATCATCAAGAGACTATTTAACCATAATTCCCTTTTAATCCAAAACATTTCTTCATTCATTTAAAATACCAAAAATAGTTAACTTTCTGTACTTTACATTTGTTGCACCACTTTTAAAACAACTAAAACCCCCCTTTTTACAATGTTTTTGAAAACCAAGTTAGACTAGGATTTCCAATAACAAGCTCCTCGAGAAGAATGACTAGTTGCATCCTATACTGCATTTTATCTGGTGCAACTCTCTTTCTTGACGATCCGAAAGACGACAGTCCAGCACATCGATCAATGGTGCCGTTGCTGGGGAGCCATTGACTTGGTTCCCTAGTAATTGGTTTTTCTCACCATTGTGATTTGGGTCAATTCTCGTAGATTTTTAGTTTTTGAACTTAATTCTTGCATTTCATAGCATCAAAAATTTTGAGAAATAGAATCAAATATCCTGTTTTTTTCTATACATTTGCATTTGCATTCTTGCATAGCATTTTGCATTTTATTCTAGCTTGATCCTGAGTGTTTTAGCCAATTGCTTGAAATTTTAAACTCTGTGCATAGTTGTTCAGCATCTGGTTTAAGTACTTAGTGATTTTTTCAGATTTTGTGAAAATAGCTCTCTGTGACTTTACGTCGCGACCTTATATATTAGGAGTCGCGACCTAAGTGATTGAGTGGCGACCTGACTTATGGCTTGTCACGACCTTAGCACTCTGTTATTCAGTTTTGCTCTTGGCCTGTTTAAGTCACGACCTAGACTTTTTCAAGTCACAACCTCAACTCCATCTTCTTTTAGGGTTGCTTTCTATTCATTGAAGTCGCAACCTAGATCACCCAAGTCGTGACCTGATCTGGTTTTCCACTGAAAATTTTCCTGAGTGTCCAGACTTACTTTTTTTGCATAACTTTGCTTTCTGCAATACTTTGAGAGTGTATAGCACTTTATACACCTCAAACTCACTGAGCATTATTTGAAATCATTGAGTTTGCCTTAATTTTGAAATACACACTTGGTAAATACATGGTTTTGAATCTACGTCTTTCTTGAACTCTATCTATGCTTGAATTCTTGAGTAATTGTGCATGCCTAGAGCCTGTAGAAGCAGGAGAGGTAAACATATAGGATCTCGTAGCCCGCTTATTTTACGAGACCTACCCCGGTCATTTAGTGAGAGTGAGGATGTAGAAGAAGAAATTATGGTTGAAGTGCCTCCTCATGGTCCAAATAGTGGGAATGGGAATGATAACCATAATAGACCTAATAATGGTGGTAATGAGGGGCAAGGAGAAAATAATGGCTAAAATAGGATTAATGAACAATTTAGGGGTAGAACCATTAAGGAACTAACTCAATCTGATGGGAACTTTGAACTTATGCCTGGTACTTTTCCTACTTTCAATGTAGACTTTGAAATTAAAGGTCAATTTATTCACTCATTGACTAAGTTCCATGGTCTTATAGGAGAAAACCCATATTTGCACCTCTGGACTTTTTATATGTAGTACTTGTCCATAAAGCCAGTAGGAACCAATATTGATGATGTCATGTGGAAGGTCTTCCACTTATCTTTGGAAGGCAAAGCTAAAGAATGGTACATGAACCTGCCACTCTATGTGGATAATGCCTATAAGTCATGGACCAGTTTGAAGAAAGCATTCTTGGATAAATACTTCCCCTCCACAAAGATTTTAGCCACCGCAAGGAAATTTCAGCAGCTAAGTAAGAGCCATTTGAGACGTTCTTTGATTTTTAGAGCAGATTTCAAGAGATGCTTACCCAGTGCCCCAACCATCAGATTCTTGAGGAGCACTTGGTACAATATTTCTACAATGGGTTGTCAATATATGATACACAAGTTTTAGATGCCGCTGCAAATGGGTCTGTGGAAAATATGGAACCAAGAGCTGTATGGGAGTTAATAAGGACCTTTGCTCTTAATAGAAACATGTTAGCTCAAGGGATCCAAGAGACCCCAAATCTGAAAGAGACCCCCTCTTGGTAAAGCTAGCCCAAGACATGTCTAAACTTGCAAATACGGTTAAAAGTCTTCGCTCCAACAAAACTCACTCTCTTGCCCTAGTAGCTACAAGTTGTGAAGTTGTCATTTACTGATGCATACTACCTCAAATTGCCCTGGGCCAGTTGAAGAACTAAATGCCATGTACCAAGGAAGAGAGGGGCAATATCAAAAAAGGGACCCCTACTCCAACACCTACAACCTCAGTTGGAGAGATCATCCAAACTTTAAATGGGATGGAGGAGCAAATAGACCAAACTAGTTCCAAGGCAATCAATTCCATAATCCTAGGGCCTCTTCAAGCACATTTCAAGATCCTTTAAGAGTAGTGGGGACAACTCCACAACAGACTATGGTATCTCAACCATCGCCAAGAGGAGATGACACTTCTCAACTTTTAAAGAGCATGGCTGCTCAGATGACAAATATAGAGGGGTGAATGAAGGAAAGTGATGACAAGTTCATTTCCATAACCAACATATTGCAAGGGATGCAGAAAGATAACTCAGACGTTCATAAGAAACTAGAGGAGCTTGTCACACCCTGATAATTTTATCCTAATTGATGAATGATTTGAGACTGACTAAGGTCAAGGAGTATAGTAGACTGGTAGAGGATCCAGGCTATGAGGAAAAATCAAGATAGGGACATAACGGTCATTTTTGAAAAGATCGGTCAAGAAAGGGCAGTATTGGAAATAATGTTCGAAATTCCTGAAAATTCCTAGAAAATCATGAAAAATAGAAAGGAGGGTACAGAATAATGTTTGAGGCTTAGAAGGTGAATATAGGATAAAAAATAATTTATCATGGAATTATTTGTAATTATTGGAATTTTTAGTTAATTAAGGAAAATTAGCCAATTTCCATTATTTAAAATATATGGAGGCCTCAAAAATTCAAGAAAAAATAGGGATAAATTATGTGACATATTATCCTAATTTATAAAATTACTTCCCACCTTTGGAAGTATAGAGGTTAGCTTAAAGAATATTTATTACCGAATTATTAGTGGTAGAATATTGATTTTTGACGAAATAAAATTTAGAAAATTATAGAGGGAGGTAAAACTTGAGAAAAATCATGGAATATCCTTGGAATGAGAGGAATTTAAGGAGGTGTTGAAATCAAAATTTTGTGACAGTAAATTAGACAGGATTGTTGGAAAATCGGACCTAAAATACACAAAAAATCAGTGGATTGCACTGAATATTGTATGAGTCATTTTTCTCCCAATTTTTAGAGTAATAATTAGGCCAAAATAAGGGGAAAGGACAAGGTTGGAATTTTCCAAATTGTTCAAGGGCATAAAGGGAAATAAGAGACAAAACATTAAAATAATATTTTTTTTACAACATGAAAATCACATGGTGAATAGGTGTCCTTCCATGTGTCATGATCTCAAGGCTTGTGCTCTAAGATTTGTCCATGTGTAAAGTGAAAAAAAATGGACAGCCGAGATCGCATCTTTTTCTCCAATGGCATTCTTGGTATTTTGAAAAATTCAAGCCTATAAATACCCCCTCACCCTTCATAATTCGGCCAAGATGTTTTCCTAGAGAGGGAATGTTTTGCTCTTAAGTTCTAGGAGAGAGAAGGAAAGAAAGAAGAGAGAGAA